GTTGTACAAAGAATCAATTTCAAATTACTTTTACTAGTGTATAAATCTTTGTATGGTTTTGCCCCAAATTATCTATGTGAATTAATCGAATTTTATGTACCGAGTCGTAGTTTAAGATCTGAATCGAAGTTTCTTATTAAAACTCGTCAGATGTGTAGTAAAAAGTCCAAGGTGTTATACAAAGACCGTGCTTTTGAAAATTTAGGTTCTAAACTTTTTAATGAATTACCTCTGTCTGTTCGTTCTAGTCCTTCAGTAGACATTTTTAAATCCAGACTGAAAACGCACTTATTTAAATGTGCTTTTAATATTTGACTGATTGTTTATTGTATCAGCGCCTTTGATCTTCATATGTTGGAATTGTTGCGCTTAATTAAATAGAGTTATTATTATTATTATTATTATTATTATTATTATTTAGTCCACCATCTTGGTTTTTCCGAAAAGGATTATGGGTAAAGTATGACATCCTTGCTTCAAAGGCTCGTCTTAAATTGTGAATTAATTTTTAATATGTCTCCAATACTCTCAGCATACGGGGTTCTTTTTAAGTTGTTTTTGATTTTGGTAATGAAGGCAAGGAAACTCTAATCAGAATCGAGGTCGCTTGACACTTATTGGAGGCTAGTCTATCCAACATCTACAGTTAAAGCGGAGGAGTCGTCACCTGCGCATGCGTCAGATGGCCATAACGTGTCATTGTTTACAAACAAGCGTCTACCCATGAGACTTTGCGTTTTTAGCGTGTGTTGTTATCGTCGCTTGGGACTCAATTCCCGCGCGTGCGCAGGTGACGACCCTCCCGCTTTAATTATGATGCAAGACATTAATATCCTAAATAAATATATGGCTGCTACAAAAATACTAAATATTTATTTTTCATGCCAAATCACATATACATACTGCATGTAATATTTAAAGCCAACTGTGCATATCCCAAAGGAACGTTTATATAGCCTACGTTGACGGTATGATTATAATTGTTACTTAAAGTTATTGCATAATGCTTGCGTAATTATCTTCTAGACCTAGCTTTGGGCATTTTAGCTCCGGGTAAGATATTTAACCAATAATTGTATCACTAGTCATTATATTTAGATTCTGAAGATTTTTTTATTCAACTGGGATTCATTATATATGAACACAGACAGCAATTCAAACTGCTGAATGGTGTTTCGAAACCGCCTACTTAGGTGAGTATCGGAGATCGTGAGAACCATTGTCGTGTGCACAATGAAGATTGACCCTACGCTCAAGTGAGTTTGC